TCGTTCTCCTCCAGTCCTGTACGTAGACAACAAGGCCATGCTGGCCTTGTGTCGAGAGCAGCGACTGGAGCACAGGACAAAGCACATTGCTCTCCGCTACTTTCTTGCTCGTGAGCTACAGCAGCGTGGCCAGTTACGACTTGCGTACGTGGCCTCTGAGGCCAACACTGCTGATGTCTTCACCAAGGTACTTGCGCCTTGTGATCATCAGCGTTGCTGCTCTCAGCTGGGTCTTGTGCCTGTCTTGCCTCACTTGCTCACTTCTTGACCTTGCTTGTACCTTCACCTATATATACTCTTGACTCTTGTATATCTCTATATATGATCTTGCATGTGAACTGGCCTTGTGGCCTTGAACTTGTGCTCGGAATGTGTGGTGACTTTGTGATCCACCCTGAGCTTTGCTTTGCTTTGCTTGACTGGTCTTGTGACCCCTTGTTCTCCCCCACTTTGCCTATGGGGGTGGGTCAGAACGTTATAGCTTACTTATTTGTGTAGGCTATAGTGGGGTATCCCATAGGGGGTACAACCCAATTAGGGTTTCCTATTTCTACTCACTTCGTTCATAGTCATTTCATTCTCGTTCACTTCTTCTCAAGGGTCGCATCCTTGCTGCTAGGAAGGTTCTTACCATCCTTCCCTAGCTCTTGGAGAACCCCTTCCCTCTCATGTTTCTCTTGTAGGTTCCCAACTCCAACTTCCTATGCCCTAATGTTTGTACTTCCTCCACCATTCTAGTCATGCGGCTGCTGGACGTTTTTACTTAGTTCTCACTCTATAGACCATCTTAACAACTGATTCAACTTGGAGATGGTAGCTAAGCCTAAGGCGCAACTTCCTATCGAGCGGATTTGCGTTTAGCTGAGAATTGAGTTCGTCGTAAGCTCTCAAAGTGACGGATCTTGAACAACAAGTAGGGCAGCGGAAGCAAGTGGGCCCACAGTCCAGGAGCGTTAAGCTCTGATAGTATGTTGAGAACTAAGTCGAGTTTGGCTTAGGAGCCATAGTAGCTTAGGTGATTTTGTGGTGAAGTTCGAGGGTGTAAGGAAAATGTCGAGAGATTTTAGAAGGAGAAATGTTGAAACTAGAAAGGAGGGGGATACAAGTAGTAAGCCCTAAAAGGGTTATACTCACTTTTGAGTACCCCACTACAGACTAGACATGCATTATAATCTGACAATGGGGCTGTCGAGGAATCTTGCGGCTGCGTGGAGAGAGAGATAAGCTGGTCCTGCGCAATCGTGACGTAAATTTCCTTTCCATTGGCCCATGCGCTTGAAGATCCGATCAGGGACTCCGAGGCTTGCCGCCGCGGTGGCTGCACCTTTGCAAAATGAGTGGGTTCCAATATGCGTGACGTGAAGTCCGGCCTTCCTGCCGGCGTCAAGACACCAGTTTCTGATCGTGGTGTAGGATGGTGAGTTGTCATCTGGCGTCGCTTGCGCATCTGTCTGAAAAACTCGGATTAGAGGTCCATGTGGCAGCCTTGTGAGGCCTGCAATGCGTATGAAGTTGTGTGTGCACCACACTGGGCAGAATGGGCCCGAGATTGCTGCCACTGGGATCCATACACCCTTCCCCTCCTGATCCGTCTTGGAGTGTGGGATGAGCAGCCACATTGCCTCCTCAAACTGTACGCCGTTCCATTGAAGCGAGACGAGGTCGGAGTAGCGCAGAAACGCTGAAAACATGGGGAGGGGTATCAAGCCCTTCTGGTATTCTGCCGGAATTGGCGACTCGAGGTAGGGGCGAGCCATATCCTGTACTTGATGGAGGGATAGAGGTTCTCTGGTTCGAGCAGGACGGGGGCCATGCCTTTTGGCAAACTCCCGTATTTGCAGGGTAAATGGGTCGACCGTCTGAGAAACTTCGCCTGTCATGCGATGTGCGAGGCCACTGCCGAACACGTCAGGTCGATTGCCGAGAAAGTGGCCTTGTTGTTGAGTGCATGGATGAGATAGAGTGCTAGCGTCAAGTTGGTTGCCGGCAGAAACTCGAGCTTGACTTGAGTACAGAATGTGCGAAATTTCTGCCAATAAGGCTGGTATGTCTCGAGTGTGGATGGTGCGCGAACATGGCTAATAACGTTCAGCAATTGTTGTTGGAGCTGAGCCAAAAGTCCCGAAATCATACATTAATAGATTTTATTAGATCGTATAGTTTACATGCAAAGCAATGATTGGGCTATGAGGCAATCCGAGTCCAGAAAATGCAGAGGTGTGTGAACCTGGTCGAAGGCATTGACTGCCTTGAGCAAGGGGAATGTGCGCTACCACCGCAAGAGCCCACGATTGTGTGGACGGTTGGAGGAAATGCCACCATGACGCTTTGGTCCATTGGGGTACTATCAGTGTGAGTTCCGCTTGTGTGCGCTCCGCGTAGTGTGGCTGCGATCAGGTGTGGTGGTGGAAAAGCAAAGCATCGTTCGCCCTTCCAAGAGACGGAAAATGCATCTATGACGAACGCGCTGGGGTGTGGTAGCTTGGAACAGAAGCGCTGGACCTGGTTGTTACAAGCGTTTGCAAAGAGGTCAATTGTGTGGGGACCCCAGCGGCGCTCCAAGAGGCGAAACCATGGTGCATGTAAGGAGTAGTCATCGTGGTCTTGCAACTTGGAGAGTTCGATCGCGTGGGCATTGAGCTCTCTTGGAATCCATTCAATTGCGAGGCGTGTGGCGTTGCCAAGGTAGAACTGGATTATTGCTTGGCACGTCAATGTTGGTTCTGAATGGCGAGATCCCCCCTTGCGCAATATAAACATGACCGCCTGGTTGTCCACCTGGACCAGAACGTGAGCATCTGCAATCTGGGTTGCAAATGTCTGCAGCACCCAGAGCACTCCCTCGAGCTCGCGCCACGTGCTGGATGTAGTGAGAAGCTCGCTTGGCATGCATGCGCTGGCTTCACATGACGTGCTTGGAAACTTTGTCAGGGTGGCACCCCAGCTGTGTGCGCTTGCGTCGACGTGGATGACGGCATCAAACCGGTGGCTTTGGTGGAATGGAGCCCCATTGAAGTGATCGAAGTGCTCCGTCAGGAAGAGCAACTCCTCCGTCGCTCCCAGTGACAATGGGTACTTCGAGTTCCATGACCACGAGGAGTCGATCAAGCACAACAACTCATGACTAAAGGCACGTGCCATCGTGCTTAGCGCGAGCGACATGGAGCTAAAGAATCTAGTGATCCGAGCTATCTGGCGGATCGGCAATTCTCGGCCTGACTGGCTTTTTGTAATGAGCCAATGGATCTCACGCATCAGTTGCTCACGCCGATCTTCCCCGACGAGAAACATCCCTCGTACAGTATCGAGCTCCATCCCCAAGAAGCGCAATTGGTGCGTGGGATGCAGGTGTGATTTCTTGGCGTTGATCACGAAGCCCGCCACCTTCAAGTCTCGGAAGACTTCCGTGCACGTTGAACGTGCTTGGATCTAGGAGTTGGAGAGAAAAAGTAAGTCGTCCATATATGGGATCACGCGAACTCCGCGCGCGCGCGCCATCTCTTAGCTAGTTGCTTAATTATCTAGGTGAAGACAAACGGTTGCTGTCACCAGGCTGAAAGGCAGGGAGGTGAAGCAGTAGAATTCTCCCTCGAATTGAAAACCCAAGAACTTCCAGCAGGATGGGTGAATGTCAACATGGTGGTAGCCTGACTTCAAATCAATTGTAAATAGCCAATCATTTGGGCGGATAATTTCTGCAACCCGGGCTAAGCCTTCGTGCTTAAACTTGGGCACTTGAAGTGTCAACTTATAATATTGTGTAGGCTATAGTGGGGTAGCCCATATGGGGTACACATTGCTAGGGTTGCATATTTGTATCACTTCCATTCATAGTTCATCCATCCTTGTTCTACTTTCCTCATGGTATCGAGCAGGTTCCCCCGTGGGAACTATGCCTAGGGCCCACCACATCGAGATTTTTTTTCCTGCCCGAAGCGCACTCTGCCCGAGTCGCACTCCGGGCTCTCACCTTGTCGAGCCGCCCTAGCGGCCCCCTACGCCCTAGCGGCCCTCTCGCCCTAGCGGCCCCCTCCTCCCTTGGCGGCCCCGCCGCCCGTTAGTGCGGCCCCGCCGCCCGTCTTTGCGGCCCCGCCGCCCGTTAGTGCGGCCCCGCCGCCCGCATTGCGGCCCCGCCGCCCGCATTGCGGCCCCGCCGCCCTTCTTCGCGGCCCCGCCGCCCGTCTTCGCGGCCCTGCCGCCCGCACTGCGGCCCCGCCGCCCGTCTTCGCGGCCCCGCCGCCCTTCTGCTCAGCGGCCCCGCCTCCCTTCTGCTCAGCGGACTCGCCGCCCTACTCAGCAGCCCCGCCGCCCTACTCAGCGGCCCCGCCGCCCTTCTATAGCGGCCCCGCCGCCCTACTCAGCGGCCCCGCCGCCCTTCTACAGCGGCCCCGCCGCCCTACTCTGCGGCCTCGCCGCCCTTCTACAGCGGCCTCGCCGCCCTAATCAGCGGCCCCGCCGCCCTTATCGGCGGCCCTGCCGCCCTTCTCCTGCGGCCCCGCCGCTCTACTCAGCGGCCCCGCCGCCCTACTCAGCGGCCCCGCCGCCCTAATCGGCGGCCCTGCCGCCCTTCTCCTACGGCCCCGCCGCTCTACTCAGCGGCCCCGCCGCCCGTCTGCTGCAGCCCCACCGCCCTTCTCAGCGGCCCCGCCGCTCTCAACTCCTGCAGCGCCCCCCGAGCCGCCCGAGCCGCCAATCGCCGCGCCGCCCTGCACCAGCACAACCGAGCCGCCCAATAGCAGCAGAGCAGCCGAGCCGCCCCGCCGCCGAGCCGCCCTGCCGCCGAGCCGCACTGCAGCCGAGCCGCCCGGCCGCCCACCAGCCGAGCAGCCGTGAAGCCGAGCCGCCCATCAGCCGAGCCGCCCAGCAGCCGAGCCGCCGAGCCGCCCTCCCGCCGAGCCGCCCTCCCGCCGAGCCGCCCGAGAAGCCCTGTCAGGTGAGCACAGCCCCTCTGTCACTGCACTGCCCTTCCCCTACTGCTTGCACTGCTGGTCTACTTTGTCATGGCTACCCCTAGTGTCCTCGCTTTTGACGCTGAGGGTCGAGCCATTGACTTTGAGGTCTGGGTCGACGACCTGCAGCTGTTCTTACAGTGCGATAGGGCGGACGGTCTCTCTCTCTTTGACCTCACCTCCGGCGCCTCTCCTGCCCTTGCTGCTGATGCTGACCCCACTGTTCGCTCCCAGTGGGCCACACGCGATGCTGCTGCACGTCTTGCTGTGCGTCGCCACCTGCCTACCACTGAGCGCGCGCACTTTAGTCAGTACAAGAGTGCTCAAACCTTGTACGACGCTGTAGTTGCGCGCTACTCTTCCCCTGCCACTGCTGCACTGAGCCGCCTCATGCTACCGTACCTCTTCCCTGACCTTGCTTCCTTTCCCACAATCGCTGACCTCATTACACACCTCCGCACTAGTGACACTCGCTACCGCGCCGCGCTTCTTGCTGAGTTTTGCGCCAAGAACCCCCCCCCCCTCCATGTACATCACTCTCTATTACATAGTCACCCGCCTCCCTGACTCCCTTCGCGAAGTCAGGGACCACTTCCTCTCAGTCTGTCCCACTACTCTCACTGTTGACCTCCTAGAGAAGGCCCTCCTAGCAGCGGAGAAGAGCATAGTCGCTGTAGGAGCCTCTCGTGGTGACCCTCGCACCCCCATCTTTGAGGGGTGTTCCCCTTCCCCCCTGTTGCCCTTTGTCGCCTCTGCTGCTGCGGCCGACCTCGTTGGTCTTGAGTCGGTCGGTGCGGCGTCTGCCCCTAGCGGGAGACGACGCTCTGGCAAGGGCAAGGGGGGCAAGGGCGCGGGTGGAGCTAGCGGGGGTGGTGGAGGTGGCGGTGGAGGCGGCGGAGGGAGTGGGGGTGGCGGTGGGAGTGGTGGCGGGGGTGGTGGTGGTGGCGGCGGCAGCGGAGGCGGAGGCGGCGGCGGCGGTAGCGGTGGGAGCGGAGGCGGGGGTGGTGGCGGAGGTGGAGGCGGCGGTGGCGGAGGAGGTGGAGCTGGTCGGGGTGGTGCCTCGCAGTGGAGCGGCTCTGGTGGTGGTCAGCGCTAGCAGCACCACCAGCAGCAGCGTTCTCGGGACATCCCCCCTCCTCAGCAGCTCTGTGAGTGGTACACGCAGCGTCAGCGTGGTGGGGGTTTTGGTCCGTGCACCTACGTCCTTCGCTCCGGCGACCGCGCGGGTGAGCAGTGTGGGGGTGCCCACCCCACCCAGCGCTGCTTTGGCCGCCTGGCGGACGCTTGGCGTCAGCAGTTCCCCGAGGCTAGTGAGATCCCCCGCTGAGAGAGCTGTCTAGGGCTGGTGTAGCTATCTATGATCTTGACTTTGATGGTATCTTTGCTGCCATGTATGCTGTGACTATTAGTGATGAGGGTGACTGTTACCGGTGTTTCCCGCCTAACCCGGGCATTGGTACTGCTACGCTAGGTGCTCGTGAGGCTGCTGCTCTAGGTGCCAGCGCGTCTGCGCCCTAAGGTACTGGTGAGGCTGCGCTCTCAGGTACCGCGCCGGCTTCGGCCTCCCTCACCTTCACACTTGACTCGGGGGCTTCTCGCTCCTTCTTTCGAGACCGCACCACACTCACGCCGCTTGGTCGGCCGGTTGCACTCTCCCTGGCAGACCCCTCTGGGGGTCCTGTCCTGTCGCACTTCTCCACAGTCCTCCCGTGTCCGGCGGCTCCCTCTGGCACCCTGTCTGCTCTCTACCTCCCCTCGTTCTCTACGAACCTGGTGAGTGGTGCTGACCTACAGGATGGGGGAGTCCACCACTTCACTCCTGTGCGTGAGCGGGTGACGCACTCCACCGAAGCTAGCACAGGCCGCCACTTGGCTACGTTTACACGTCAGCCGGGGTCGAGCCTGTACACCCTAACCACCGCGTCTCCTCCAGTTGCTGAGTCTGGTAGGGTAGCTGCGTCGGGTCAGGTGTTTGCTGCAGCGTCCAGGTCGGGTCCTGAGTCTGCCCCCTGTTCGTGTCGTCTCCTCTCTCACGAGACTCTCCTCTGGCACCACCGCCTTGGTCACCCCTCTCTGCTTCGGCTCAGAGGCATGGCCTCCCGTCTTCTTGTTTCCGGTCTCCCCCGGTCCCTCCCTCCCCTTCCTTAGGGCCCTGGCCCTACCTGTGTCCCCTGTGTCGAGTGGCGCCAGCGTGCGGCCCCTCACTCCTCCCAGTTTCCTCCGACAGAGGCCCCGTTGCAGACGCTTCACATGGACGTGTGGGGCCCAGCCCGCGTCCGTGGACAGGGTCACGAGCGCTACTTCCTACTCGTTGTTGACGACTACTCGCGGTACACCGCAGTCTTCCCCTTGCGCAGCAAGGTTGATGTCACTGAGGTGCTGATCGACTGGATCCGCGCAGCTCGTCTCCAGCTCAGGAAGAGCTTTGGCTCGGACTTTCCTGTTCTGCGTCTGCACTCGGACAGAGGCGGAGAGTTTTCCTCTGGACTTCTGAGAGCCTACTGTCGCGCACGAGGCATCCATCAGACCTTCACGCTTCCGGACTCCCCACAGCAAAATGGGATTGCTGAGCGCCGCATTGGCATGGTCATGGACGTCGCTCGTACGTCTATGATGCATGCGGCTGCTCCCCATTTTCTGTGGCCGTTTGCAGTGAGGTAGGCAGCGCATCAGATCAACCTACACCCCAGAGTCTCCAGGCCGGAGACCTCCCCAGCCTTGCTGTGGACCGGGAAGGTTGGCGATGCGTCGGCGTTCCGGGTCTGGGGATCTCGGGCGTTTGTTCGCGACTTGTCTGCGTACAAGCTGTCCCTTCGTGCTGCTCCTTGCGTCTTCCTGGGGTGCCCCCCTGACGCGCCTGGGTGGCAGTTCTACCACCCCACCTCTCGTCGTGTTCTGTCCTCCCAGGATGTCACGTTTGACGAGTAAGTCCCCTACTACCGCCATATGGGGTACAACCCAATTTAGGGCTAGTACTTGTACCCATCCTGCTGCTAGTTCATCCATTTCCTGCTCGTTAGTTTCTGACACCTGGCTGAAAGGGGTAACAAGAAGCTGCAGTCACTGCCTTACCAGCATCAACATCAGGGTGTAGCAGAATGGATTAACAGGATGCTGCAAACTATCATGCGCAAGCTTCTTACTGAAACATGCTTGCAAGCAAGGTAGTGGCCATTTGTGATGGACTAAGCTGTGCTGCTCCACAACCTCCTGTCATCCACGTTGCTTCCAAACAAGTCATCACCATACAAGGAGTAGATAAGATAGCTGGGGAGTACAAAAATGTTACGAGTCTTCGGATTCATGGTGCAGTACCGGCCGTTGAATATACGTGCAGGACGATTTTCACAACGCGAAAATAGGGGAATACATTTCGGGATGGAGAAACAGTTGCTGCATGGAAGATTTGGGACGTTGAGGATCGAGTAACAGTTCCGGCACGTGATGTGATTTTCTACGAAAGACTCACATACAACACCTGGCAGCATTAACGCAACAATAGTGAAGACCTGAGAGCTGAATTTACTGGTGCACGCACCTTCGCAACAGAAGCCGACGAAGCTGACGCGGTGGAAGAAGCTGTCTTGGGTGCATCAGCAGGTGCCAGTGCCGCCCCATAATTGCTCAGTTCCGATCGAAATTGACGAGGAGGATCCCACAATGACGTCAACGCCAAAGTGTAGTATGTATTCTCTGATAACAGGGCAACAACACCAATCCCCGCCGCTTCTAGCGAAAGCGAACGTCTAGGCCTCGGGTTCAACTTCGAACCTAAAGCGATGACGAAGCTGCTAGTGTCGAGACAGAGGAACAGACTCGCTATCATCAGGCTAGCTTTTAGATACTAGGATTAGCTGTCGCTGTACAAAACTCTACAATACTTAAAGAACCAAAGACCCTCGAGCAAGCTCTCAAAGGCACACTGTAGAGTGTGGACACTTTGAAGAGGAGCTCCAGATAGACCTCACCCTTACAATCTCCAGTACAGTGATGCAGTACCTAGGCCTAGACATCACAGAGACAACGTCTTCCATTCATCTCTCACAGAAAAATGCGCAGAGAAACGCCACGCACGCTTTCCTCTACCGACCACCTCGACCTCCACTCCTTACCGTTCTAACGCATCGTCCGACACGGAGGTCTTGTCTGCTGCCGGCATTACACGCTATCAGCAGTTACTCAGTAGTCTCTTGTTCGCGGCCGTTACCTGCTGTCCCGACCTATTGTTTTCTGCTAGCCAGCTCGCTTAACACCTTAAGCCACCTGAGGGGGATAATCTAAGGGACCTTGAAGCAGCTGTCTATTTCGTATATACACCTACAATCGGCCTAACTTATCATAAGTCGCCTAAAACCCTGCCGTCACTTCTTAGCTACGTAGATGCAGATCACACGGGTGATACTTCAAACAAGTGCTCACAAACGGGATTTATCTACCGTCTGGAGCTTGTTGGTACTATCTCCTGGCAGTCGTGCAAGCAAGAGCTGATTACACTTTCGTCAGCTGAGGCAGAATTCATCGCCGCCTGCACCGCAACCAAGGAAGGACCAGTGATGTGTCACAGTTCTCACTCTTTTGCGACAATCAGTCAGCAATCCACATCGCAAACAAGTCTGGTTTTGCTAGTCGGACCAAACACATCTCGCTACACTAATTTTTCGTGAAAAAAACGAAATCGAGCAAGGCAAGTTACAGCTCGCCTACTGCCTGACTAGCGAAATGGCTACGGACTACTCAGTCGAAGTTCCAGTATTGCATGCTACTAGCTAGACTCGGCCACATCAGCGATAAGACCGACAACATTGAACTCCAAAATTGGAAGGAAGTGTTGGAAGTAGAATAAAGGACTTATACAATTCAGCAGTTCGATCATTATAGTAGTATCGTAGAAGTATTATATGTGTATCTTACTGTAGCATGTTCCCTTTGCATGAGGTACAGGTAGTAGCCCAATCAGTCTCGTGATTGTTTACGTAACACAGGAAAGCACCGCTTCATGAGTCGACTCGATAAATACCGTAATCTCCCGGCTAGAAGCCCCCCCCAACCCCCTCCCCCCCCCCCCCCGCATACAAGCCCATTGGGTCTTTTATCTGGACCAGGGGTCTTTTATTGTGTCAGTCCTGGAGAGGACCCGACTTTTGACCCAATTGATTATAAGACCCCCCTTCTTTTGCATGGATGGTGTTTAACCAGTAAGCTACTTAGCAAGTCACGAGAAAATAACACTAGATTCACGTTGTGAGGCGAATTCGTGATCAATGGAGTCATGATGCCACATTGCCACATTAATCATGGACTTTTGCCGCCCGTCACGCGAGAAATGCTGACGTACCTGTCAAGGTTGGGCATTACAGGAGGTGTGACGCGTAGCAAGGATTGATGTGGGCGAAGCGAGAGTCACGATAGGATTCCCCGTTTTGAGCCGTACTCAAATCCACAAGAAAAGTTTGAAATTCTTCAACACTAATCTTTGTCAAACTATATATGTGTTAGTTCTGTGTAGGCTATAGTGGGGTAGCCCATATGGGGTACAACCCGAAGTTAGGGTTAGTACTTGTACCCACATTTCATTCAGTGCAACCATTCCTGCTTGCTTTCTTGACATGGTTTCAGAGCAGTAGGTCCGTAGGACCGTTTTTTTTCTTTTCGGACCCACCATACTTAGCTTTCGACTGCGGTTACCACGTTACCCCACTACCCTGCGTCGCGCTGCCCCGTGCACGCCCTGCCTTGCCCCGCGTCGCGCTGTCTAGCGCACGCCTTGCCCTGCCCTGCCTGGCGTCACCCTGCACCAGCGCCCTGCCCTGCGCCGGCGCCCTGCCCTGCGCCAGCGCCCTGCCCTACGCCAGCACCCTGCCCTGCGCCAGCGCCCTGCCCTGCGCCAGCTCCCTGCCCTACGCCACCGCCCTATCCTGCGCCAGCGCCCTGCCCTGCGTCAGCGCCCTGCCCTGCGCCAGCGCCCTGCCCTGCACCAGCGCCCTGCCCTGAGCCAGCGCCCTGCCCTGTGCCAGCGCCCTGCCCTGCACCAGCGCCTTGCCCTGCGCCAACGCCCTGCCCTGCGCTAGCGCCCTGCCCTGCGCCTGCGCCCTGCCCTACGCCCGTGCTGCGGCCCTGCGTTGCACCCTACGGCAGCCTGCGCGTCGCGCGCTGCTGCCCCGCGCGTCGCGCTCTGCTGCAGCCCGCACGTCGTGCCCTAAGGCAGCCCACGAGTCGCGTGCTGCTGCCTCGCGCATCGCGCTCTGCTGCAGCCCGCGCGTCGCGCCTTAAGGCAGCCGGCGCGTCGCGCTCTGCTGCCCCTCGCGTCACGCGCTGCTGCAGCCTGGGCCAGCGCCCTGCTCTACGCCAGCGCCCTGCCCAGCGCGCGCTGGCACCCTGCCCTACGCCAACGCCCTGCCCTGCGCCCGCGCCCTGCCCTGCGCCAGCGCCCTGCTAAACCCTAAATAAAATTAAATAATTATTTAAATTAAAAAAAGGCCCTAGGTGCTTCTGCCCTAGGAGCTATTCCCTGCTACTGCCCTGCTGTGGCCGCGCGCCACCCTGCTGCTCTTACTGCTGCTGCTGCTGCTACTCGTGCTACTTGTCAGAACATATAGCTAATACATTTGTGTAGGCTGTAGTGGGGTAGCCCATAAGGGGTACAACCCAATTAGGGTTAGTACATGTACCCAACTATTTCATAGTTCAATCATTCTCGTTTCTTCTCATGGTATCGAGCAGGTTCCCTAGTGGGAACGCTACCTAGGGCCCACCACGATACGTTTTTTTTCCCCTGCCCGGAGCGCGCTTCACCCTAGACCAAGTCGCGTGCGCCCCGCGTGCCCTCCCTACTGTCGCACCGCCCTTCGCGGCCCCTCTCACGGCCCCTTGAGCTGCTCTTACGGCCCCGTGCACCGCCCTTGCGGCCCCACGCACCGCTCTTTATAGCCCCGCGCACCGCCCTTGCGGCCCCTCGCACCGCCCGTCGGCCCTTCGCGCCGCCCGTCGACCCCGCGCGCCTCCCTAGCGGCCCCTTGCGCCGCCCGTCGCCTCCGTGCGCCGCCCTTGCGGCCCTTCGTGCCGCCCGTTGGCCCACCGTGTGCCGCCCTTGCGGCCCCTTGCGCCGCCCTAGCGGCCCCGACGCCTACTCCTGCGGCCCTGGCGCCGCC